TTTTTCAGAGTAACTTTTATCCATTCTCTTTGTAGATAACGTTATAAGGACAGTAGTATTAACAAAATCAGAGATTTACTTGTTTCTTAATTAAATATTACTTAGCTATTAGATCTTTTTCCAAAAGTTATCTTCATTCTTTTTACATGTAGATAATATTGAAAAGATGACAGTAAACACAGAAATATTAACAAAATCCTAAAGACTTGATTGTTTGTTAATCAGATATTGTTCAGCTACATGGATTTTTTTGCTTCAGAGTAACTGTCATCCTTTCTCGATGTAGATAATTTTGGGAAGATAATGGGGATATATTATTTTGAAAATGAACATTAGTGAGTAATTCACATTTCTTTCAGCTAACAGGCAGCTATACATTTGCTTATATGTAGGGACATTTGGATTTCTTTCCATTCATGTAAGTAAGCGTAAATCTATATAATAATTATACAATTTCACTACATTTCTAAAGTGGTCATTAGCAGTTCATTTACATTATAGATGTAGCCTTATTCTATCAGTATCACTTTCATTAATTACTGACAACGTACACTCACATTTTCAGTTCATTATTTGGTATAATCAGTAGCAATTCATTCACATTATAGATATAATAGTTCTACTTTATTAATAGTCGTTACTTTAATTCCCGAACAATGGCAATCATTTTCCTTCTGGTATTTAATGCATTTCTATTGTAAAATAACTTGCCAGCAACAGTTTCAAGTATTCTTTTATTTAAAATATCTTTACGGCTCTATATTTAGTCTTTAGCAGATAGACTACATGACAATTAATAAAAGATCCAGGAATGTAATTCTACGCTCTAAATGTTACCTAAGCGCTGACTAACAGATCAATCAACTTGCATTCACATGCAAAGTTAAAATTACGGAAATTATAGCAAACCAAATCAACGCCAAAAGTATAATAAAGCAGGCTCCGAAATTACTCATTTTGCACATAGCTGTAAATATAAGACCTTAGAAGAGGTTAGGAATTCAAAGTGGAACGCCTCTTGTGACACCAGTAAGCCGGATCATTTCAAGGAAAGAGAGAAAAGAAAAAGAAATTGATGATAGATGAAAGTGTCAAGATTATGAAAAAGAGACAGCAAACAATGCTAAAGAACGGCACAGAATATAAAATATTAAACAAGACTAAAAATGCAGGCTACCATAAGATGAATGATCCAGAAATAAAAGTGCAGATATAGAAAAAATGAGGAACATATATATACTGACAAAATGCTTGAGAATAGGACTGTTTCCAAAAATTATTTTCAGCCAATTAGACGGACGGATTGAGAAAAAATTTTACGTTGCTAATGCAAACATAAGAAACCACATGTTTCATAGATTAAACAAAAGCATTTAATGAGTTACGACACAAAGGTCTGTTAGAACTGCTCGGAAAACTTGATTATTTTATTTTTATTCAAGTCAATGCTTTCACACTAAAATTGGTATTAACCAAGCAATGTTGGCAAAATCTTTAGGATATATTTGTATGGTAAAACATATCATGAAAGTTTCCGATTATTATATTTACACTTATTAAAAAATACTGATAAATGTATTCAAAGTTTATTATGCAAACAAAGAAATATATATTTGATTGATACAATATCACATATATCTATAAACTATCGTCGTTAATCTTTTTGTTTCGAATATAACATTACATTTTTAGCATTTCTCAAGGATATTTTTGTTTCACTATTCTTCCTATATATGAGGGCCAACAAAATGTCTATTTGATTAATATATGGAGAGGTTGTTAGAAATTTTATTAATTTGGTAAGATTTAATTTTTTTGTGTAGGGTGGGTACTGTATATAATCGAGTATAATGTGATCAGATTTTATGCAAATATATTTTTATGATCAATTTTTACACAAAAATAGGGTGTCGCACTATACATAGGTCATTTTTGAAGGGGTTAAAATCATGCATTTTCGGTAACCGGTTGCACTATACACAGGTAACTTTGCTCTGGAGGTGTTAAAATTAATGCAAAAAAATAGATGTTGCACAATACATGAAGTCAGCTTACACACGAGTGTATACGGTAAACTGAGAGAGATGAAATGTTTTGGTCACATAACGGGGAAAGAAGGCTTGGTGAATTAAAAACACAAAGCAATTCAAATTCAGACAAACATATGAAAGCAACGTGTCTTTGAGGAAATGTAGAAAGGAACAACTATCATAATGAAAGAGAAATCGTAAAGAAACAAGTGTTGTTGCTATCTATAATATACATGGGCTTAAGGCCGTATCACGTTGAAACAACGGTTGATCGTCCGATCACCAAAGTTAAGCAACATCGATCCCAGTCAGTTCCTAGATGGCTGACAGCATGGATGTATAACGGCTCGAAATAAGAATTCGAATTCCTTTCGGATTTGTTACATTCATTTACATACAAATACAGTATATAATCAAGAATAGTGCAAGTTTTTATTATCAGTTTTCTTAAGCAAAAAGGAGATAGCACTATACACGAAAAATATTTTTGAAGAGGTCACCAGTAGCACTATACATAAGTAAATTTTTCTAGGGGGGATAAAATTCATGCAAAAAGTTAAGAGATCGCATTATACATGAAGTCAATATATACATGAGTAATCTTCAGTATGTAAACATTTTCTTATAAGTATATACGCATTAACTTAGTTTTGTGATTGTATCACTGGAAAACATCTCACGCAAGAACTTTCAATAATTTCTTGCATTTTTTTTACATCATAATCAAATTTGAAGGTACATCAGATGTACTTACGACCCATAGTAACATTTATATAACAGAATAAAAAATAAATATTAATATAGGTATCTCCAAAAATGTTGTAAAAACAGCATACTATGATAAAAAGGCCCTTAGCATGTTTTATCGTCAAAATATTTTTGTTATTATTAAGAGGAAAGACAAAGGTATTTTTTGATGAGTTTACTAAATTTCTTAATCTTTTCTACACGTTCAAAATTTTGGTCAGCGGGTGGGCCAAAGATTAGTATAGAAATTTTTAGCGTCTTTTTTGCGTTAAAAACAAATTGTTTTTGGAATTATTGCAAAAATCAAATAATTGTCGGATTTTAATGAAGTTTTCAGGACTTATTCAGAAATGAATATAATTGTTTTTAAAATTATTTTTTTTTTTTTGGAAAATCCTGGTAAAAATATTTTTTCATCTGTTGTTTAATTTTATGAAATTTATAGAAATTAAACGTAGGACTCCTTGGAAAATTTAAATCATCATCAAGCAGAAACACCATTTACCGAAAATCTGCTCTGAATCGAAAAAGAAAAATGCAATAAAACTATGATATTATTAAATTAGAAAAGCTTTTAATTGCTTTTATAAATAAAATATATTGACATTATTGTCTTTAAAAATGATGAACAATGAAATTTTACGAGAATTGTTTTCATCTTTTAGAATTTTAATTAGAAAAATTATTATGTTTTAAATATTTATAATTCTGTATTAATTTCATCCTTTTAGATGATATTATTAAATGAAAACTATATGTACTAATTACAAATGAAAAAGCTTAATACAAATCATCAATATTTTTAAAATAATTTTGAATTTTTTTTTGTATATAAACGTGTCGATTTTTGTAAGTACGGGTGACCATACACGACATTATCAGAACAAAAGAGGGATAAATATTTAGATTTAAGACATTAGATTATGTAGATTATTTTCCGAAATTTTTAAGATTACTGAGTACTTAAAATAATATAAAAAGGCGCTTATGTCATTTTCTTCACTTACGTCTTACAGATAAAGTCTCCGTAGAATAACATTAGGTATGTCATTAGGCTCTCAACACGTTAAAACAGTTGGGTTAAAAACACAGCTACCGACAGGTTAAAAATGCATTTCTACGATAATTTAAGCTTAAAGTAAATGATATTTGCCTCAAATCAGATTAATTATACTTTAAGTCAGCTAATATTCCTTAAATAAAATTTCGGAAAAGTATATTTTATTTTTGAAAGATTTTTTTATAAATAGAATTACACTGCGATGAAAAACGATTTTTAAAGGGAAATATTCAGCTATTTTATATAAAAAAAACTGCTTCCAGTTGATTTAAATTAGTTTGGAAATACAGTAAAATATTTTGCTTATAGGAAATATTAAATTTTAATGAAAACTGAAATTAAAACTAAAATACAAACTTCAAGAAAGATTTTTCATTTTTAAAAATTCATTTTATACCTTAGGTATCGCGTTTTTTTGTGGGGATATTTATACTAAAACCTATAATAAATATAAAATTATTATTAGTATAAATTTTAGCTATTTATTTTACGTTAAGCACTATTGTATTATTACTACCACCACTCATTGTGCACATAAAATGTGACCATCAAATTAGTTATTGTATATATTTCTAATAAAATAAATAAGTTGAAATTCATACAGTCATATCGTATAACTATAATTATATCCTTAAAATTAACCTGGCAGTATATGCTTAAAAATTTGCTTATATATTAACACAAAGAGGGACAAGGGAAAGCAATGCGTGATATACTTAACGGGCAAGTGGATGGCAAAACAGAGTCTGGAAGAAATAACAAAATGACAAAACTTATTGAGAGCTACTGGGAACCGGAGGTAGTGGAGAGCCATGATCGTTTACGTCCTAAAGGGACACGGCACATAAAAGAATAATATACATAAGTTTATTTTTATGACTGATTGATTATTTTTATTATTATATTTTATTTTTTTACGGCTTAGCAACTTTTTGACAGTTATTTAAATCTCGAAAATATTTTTAGACTGTAAGAATTTTGGAAATATAATAATTATTTACTGATACAAGTTCTACTAAGTTGAGGAGATAAGAGGTGGAATCATACCTTTCCTAAGAGTATTTGCGTATAAGTGAATATAAAAATTCGACTGAAAATGGAACTCGGCTCTCTGATTAACAATTCCGTAACGTTATCCGTTACACCACCCGCACACTCAAGTTCACAGCACCTGATATTCCTAAGCGCTCACCCATCTAGTTTCTGACCAGGCTCGATGTTGCTTAACTTCGGTGATCGTACGAGAACCAGTGTGTCAAAATGATATAACCGCAAAACATTTATTTTTATTTTTTATGCATATTTTTTGTGTGTCTGGTAAGAAAAGTTCATGTATAAAATTTCTTTCGGTACGAGTATATGTTAAACTTACTTATAAAAGAGTCTATTAGGTGTACTTCTTTATATTACCTAGGTTAAAAGTAACGGACGTATGTCTTTTATAAGTATCCTGATAATTGGAAATTTGGCATTCTAGTAACAGACTCACACACACGCACGTATATAGGCACGCACGAAATATTTGTTGCGTTTATATAACAAAAGTTGTGAAGCTGTAGCAATACTTATATACTAAAAACCTCCTATCTTTCAATAGTGTATGTAAATGTAAATAGTTATGAATTCTTTTGTCCTTGTGCAAATACTGTTGACAAATAACTTAATAACATAGCAGTTCGTTTACCGACAGCATGGAGTAGTATAGTCACCCTATTTATTATATACATTGAAAAGCTTTATTATATTCCTATAATAGCAGAAAGGAAAGAAATATTTTATATTCATTGTTGAATAGATATTTACTTATATATTAGCCATATATACGACCTTGGTGGAGGTATTTTCCATTTACAGTTGCCGTTTGAATAAAGAGCGTTAAATAATGATATTTGAGACAAGTAAAACTATAAATTTAAAGATTTTAAGATTGTCTGTCTATATTTCTGAGATGAGGTATTGTAATTATTTACATTATTTACATTGTTCGGACTGTTGTCCTCATCTTTGTTGTCATATTCACAATATACCCGTTGATAATCGCAAGTAAAACTATAAATTTAAAGATTTTAAGATTGTCTGTCTATATTTCTGAGATGAGGTATTGTAATTATTTACATTGTTCGGACTGTTGTCCTCCACTGCCTTAACCAACGTCCTTGAGGACACATGGCACAGTGGATAAAGGCGTTGGTTAGATCCAGTGACAGGACCCAAAGAGTGTGAGTTTAAAACCCGGTTAAGACAGTGGATAACTTTTAGAGGGAAATTAACAGGAGACAACTGATAACTGACACCCATCAAACATGATACGTGGAACTAGAACAGTCTACCCCAGTGAGCGAAATAAAGGGTTCAGTTCGACATTCCAACCACCTGAAGAAGGATGGAGCGTACAACGGCTGAAACGTTGTAATAAATATGTCGACAAAGATGACGACAATAGTCCGAATAATGTAAATAATGAACTCTAGATACATACATAAAACAATTCAAAAAATTCTGTAAAAATTAAAATAAAATTTATCCTAGATAATGGCGAAATGTATAGCCGAAAGCGCTTTAAATAATCACACTTGATATACTACAAGTTTAAGACTCACGTTACATCTCTCTCTGAACATAGCTTAATTAGGTCTAATGGAGACCTTCAAAACTATATCCGTAACATACTCGTTGATAATACAAATATAATAGCATCAATATGCAAGCATTATATATATATATATATATATATATATATATATATATATATATATATATATAACCAAGGATATATGCAGAAAAAGTTATGTCTCAACTGCTGATGACGACGAAGCATTTGTTATGACCGTACAGGCCAACACGTGAGTGACAGTCTCCATTTCAACGAATGCTCGTGAGGACGCTCTCCTGCGATGTCGCTGTGTTGTTTTCTTTTCGTTGAGCATGCTTCTCCCCGGTGGCAAGCCTCCGTTTCTCCTGTCTTCGGAGTAAACCAGTCTCTAGTGTGAGCGATCGTTGGTGACGTCTTCCCATCACTCGATGTCCATATTCAGCACTTTCATGTCCCTTTTGTTTTACAGGATACATTTTTTTTCGTCATTGGTAGCATAACTATGAGTTTTATGTATAACGTAATCTTCAGGTGCAGACTGAAAATTCTGCATGAAACTCAGTTGTGCTACTAGTGAGAAAAAATGTATATTTATTATTAATATATAATTTATAGCTGTTATTCTACATCGAGAATTATTTTATAAACATCAGCACTCAATGTGCAATATTATATATATATATATATATATATATATATATATATATATATATATATATATATATATATATATACACACAGAGGGAGCGATGGATAAATTGTCGTTCAAATTACGCAAAAATGAAAATAGCTCTAACATCTATATTTTCCAAAATTACACAAAAGTATTTTGACTTATTTAGCATTACTAAAGGGTGGGAGTAAATAGTAAGAATGACATAATAATTACAGTATTATATAAATGAATATAAACGTTATATAAATCTTTATATATCAAAAATAGTTTTGAAGGAAAGATGTATGACAAAGTAGAAACTAATCTGACTAAATTTAGTGCATCATATGGGTACGAACGAAAAGATGCTGGAAATTTTTAATTTAAAATTATTTTTCATTTTCTTTCCTATTTTTGTGCTTTTGATATATAATTTATACAATTTTATTTAATAAATTGTTTTTCTTTTTGTTTCCACAAGGATAATAGAAGATCTGCCAGCAATGGTGAAATGTTGTAAAAGCCTAGGCAAAAATTTACTGTAAAAGCAGTCTCTAAATATTTTCGTTTTAGTGAATTGTTTTTCCTTTGATCAGAGTAGCACATTTATATCAAAATTGTTTTCAGTCTCATATATATATATATATATATATATATATATATATATATATATATATATATATATATGTATATAAATATAAATATAGATAACTAGACTCGTTTCGAAAAACCCCCGAATTTTTGATTTGCTAATCAAATCAATCTCGAGGAAAAAAAAGGTTTTAAAAAAAGAAAGAGCTACAAACATGAACTTCTGCCGACAAAAAAAATCGCACAGATGCAGGTCTGAAGCCCAAAGAAAAAACCCCGATACGAGTAACAACTAACTAACAAAAGAGCTCAATACAACCGTAGAGCAGACCTAGATACACCTAGTGAGCCAGACAAACCTACCTAGGTTTCACCTAAACGGATCGTCAGGGAAAGTTTCAAACCTAGGTAGGTTTGTCTGGCTCACTAGGTGTAACTATATATATATATATATATATATATATATATATGTGTGTGTGTGTGTGTGTGTGTGTGTTATTTTTATGAAATTTCTCCTGTTTTTGTACGAGGGAACAAAGGATGGCTTCAAGAGTGTCCATTGTTCTTTTCCTATTGTCGTTTATAGCGCTTTCAAATATACTTTAGTCATCGTCAGGAATAAGACATATAGGCGCTGTTTGTCAGAAGAAGGTGAAATGATACTTCCCGGAAAGCAATTCACAAAGCAATAAGAAAACATTTTTTTTTTATTTGAACACAGTCATCCTGTTACTCATATTCTTTCTTATTTTATTGATGTCATCAGAAGATAAACTATGGTAATTATCTATTCATACTAAAATCCACGGAGGAATGCACAATGAGGCCAAATACCCAGAAAGTGTCAAGCGATATCTCGAAATGTCAACAAAAGGTCAATGCAATCATAGAAAATAACTCTTTTCTCCTCGGCTGAATATCATATATATATATATATATATATATATATATATATATATATATATATATATATATATATATATATATATATATATATATATATATATATGTATGTATGTATGTATGTATGTGTATGTATGTATGTGTGTGTGATTTCCATTTTTAATCGTCTTCTTAGCATTAATTATACCATACCAAAATTACAACAACAAGAATACTATATATATGTGTGTGTGTATGTGTGTGCATAATAAACCAAGTCATCAGTAAAACATGAAGAATCAACTCTACCAACACGTAGACAGTATTATGTGTGTTTGCGTGTGTCTCTATCTATCTATCTATCTATCTATCTATCTATCTATCTATCTATCTATCTATCTATCTGTCTATACACACACGCACACACACATATATATATATATATATATGTATGTATGTATGTATGCGTGTGCGTATGTATGTATTAGTAACAACGTGTTTCACCTTCGGTAATTAGGTAGGTATCTCCAGATCAGAATGAAAGTCAAATCTGAGTGTGAATGTTCGTGTGGGGTATATGCGTTTTTTATATTTAAACCATTAATGTTTGTTTGCTAGGTCGTCTGCTTTGTTCTTATTATGTAGCCTACTAACATGCGTATATATATATATATATATATATATATATATATATATATATATATATATATATATATATATATATATATTATAATAATTTACAAAAGAATGCCAACAGGTTACAAATCCGGAGTCATAAATTAGATCAGGAACTGGTTCTAGAAAAGATTACTGAAGGGATGATATACACAGCGCAAGAGCAAGTTTTAAGGAAAAATTCTATAGTTCTATAAATATTTCCATGTTAATTATTCTAATGAAATTTCCTCTATGATAGCTGGACTCTATGAATTCAAGCGCTGTACTAGATTGGCGGCTAATAGATTCTTGCAGTTGAAACGGCTAGATGTAAGTTATATGTTAGCTGTTTCTTTTTTCACACTTTTTGCTTCCGGCTTTTTGCTTTCCAGAAAAAATTTTTATTTTCAAAAATTTAAATGTAATTTCAAATGTTATCTTCTGTCTTCTTAATTCCTGTTCTTTTATTGTTCTCTCGCTTTAATAATGTTTTTCATTTTCTTATATTCTTTCACACTCAGTACCCCCTGCGTCTTAGTAGCTTTGTTGTCCTCCTTGCTGTGAAATAATTTTAAAAAATTACACTATTGATAGAACCGCTAGAACCATTGCACAGGCTATATAGGAAAGCTACCGAAAGTGTTCAACACATTGTCAATGACTGCATTCAGCTGAGACAAGTGTAGAGATGACACAATCACAAAGTCGCCCTCAGAATACAAAGAGTACAGGAAGTATGGTCTTAAATACACAGACAGGTGGTAGTCGAGATTGAGCAAGAGAAACTCATGATTAGTTGGAGCGCAATTGCTCTATTATTATACTTGTATACAAGAGTAGTTATGAATGGATTCTGATAGACTTTACAGTACCTTGGGATAAAAACATCATGAAGCA